TGTCGGTTTGTCTGCCTCGTTGTCGTAGCTGGACGCTTGTCTCTATTAAGTTAGTACTCTAGTCCGCGATTCTCTCTCTCTCTCTCTCTCTCTCCCTCTCTCTCTCTCTCTCTCTCTCTCTCTCTTCTCTCTCTCTCTCTCTCTCTCTCTCATCTTCTCTCTCTTCTTCTCTTCTCTCGCGCTCTCTATCTCTCTCTCTCTCTCTCTCTCTCTCTCTCTCTCTCTCTCTCTCTCGCTGTCTCATTCTCTCTTTTTCTTTCTCTCTCTCTCTCTCTCTCTCTCTTACTCTCTCGCTTTCTCTATAATTTGTATTCTTTCACGCACTTTCTTTCGCTTTTTCCTGTTTCTGTTTATCTTTCCCGGTCTACTGGCGCGTATTTAATGATATATTATCTTTTTAAATAAATAAATACTAAAAACAATTCGCTGAGAAGAAACGCGAACAATAGTTACATGCAGTTGATAACAGGCCTTTCAGATCGACGAGACACATATGAGGAGTGTATAATATTATAGATATAAACATATATAGCTATAGATCTAATATAATATATGTCTATATTATTACACTCCAGATAATTTCACAAAGCTCAACGCATGCATCTTGCAGGGTCAGTTCGGTGGACTACATTAATTACTGCGATACGCCTCACGCAGACATTTCGCTCGCGCTAAATATTCATGTCTTAACAGAAATCACTCCTAGGAGGTACTGTGGGACGTCGGATGGTGCATAACACGCCGCATGATCGTACCTTCGCGGGTGATGCGCATATATATCAGTCATCTATAGTTGATACGTATGGCTTCACTGCATGGCATTACGTAGCATCGAGTAACATCAGTAACAATTTGTATATGAATGTCATTAATATTCAATTAGGTTCTAACTTATATGCAGCATCGACCATTCCGTAGCAAGTGAGTAAAGACGCATAACATCTCACGTAACACTGGCTACCTTCATCTTTAAGAGTACGGGCAGCGGTGGGGAATAGAGTATTATCCCTAGTTAACACCGACGCTTCGCGCGCCACACCCCCCTTGCACTGTACTGCACTCTGTACTGGGCATAACCTCATACATATGCCACCTTCATCTTTGAGGTTAATGAACGCGGTGGGAAATGGAGTATTGGCTTCACGCTACGAAGAGACGCACGTTTACACGCGCGGGTAACCGCCAACTGCTTCAATCCAGGACACTTCGTTTTAGTCGAATGACTTCGCACCTTAAAAGATTTCGTACTTGTATTATATATTCTTTCGTTAGGTTCTTAGGGCGTAATTAACGTTCTACATCAACACGACGTGATATAGAATTGCCTTCCTCCATCCCATTTCTTGCCGTTTTTATTTCCGGCATTCCTTTCATTCCTTGTTTTCCCAGTCCTCCCCCGTTCCTCCCCTCCGTCCCCTTCCCCACTACATCACCCTAAACCCCCCGCTTGACGACCTAGGCTGTTGGTCGATGACGACGACTCGGCGGACAGTGGGGCAAGCTAACAACACGCACGCAGGCAGGCAGTCTAGCTTGCTAGGCTGGTTGGTCGATGACGACGATTCGGCGGTCCAGTGGGCAGGCTAAACGCATGAGGCAGGGCAGTCTAGCTTGTGGTGATATCAGGTCCTGCTGTGATATCATGCGACAGCAATCCCTGATTACTGCTCCACGCCCACGGTTTATATGACCGTCGTCCGGATTACACTAACCCGAATCATGCCGCACGTGAATGACCGGCGGCTGCCGAGCAATGGTTTTATACAG